CGCCTTCAGCGAAGCAGTGGAGAAGGCACAACGAGTAGAGAATGCTAGGCTCCAGGTGAAAAACTTCCAGGCGAAAAAGAGGGGATTTCCTGGAAGTAGTTCGGCAGGGGGATGAAAGTACGCCTCCCAAGTTTGGGCGGGGAACGGGAGGAGTAAGGATGCCGGGAGTGTCACAAGAGAGCCCGTCAAGAGGAGGCTCGGCTTTTGTAGCACGCGGACCCTGCGGGTATTGCGGAAAACTAAACCACTCGGAGGACAATTGCTGGAAGAAAGAAGGAAAATGCTTGCTTTGTGGGAGTGCCGAACATCAAATTGCTAACTGTCCAGCTCGCCTGCGCGAGCGGCAAGGGACTCTGCCACCAACTACGACCAACCCTGCCCAGTCGAAGGGGGACAAGGATGGATCGAAAGTGTCCTCTCGGGTGTACTCCTTAGAACAACATCAAGTCTTTGACCCATTAGAGGACGTGGAAGGTAAGAATTTACTGAACCTGGCCAGTGAAGGGGGTACAGATTTGTTAGCTAAGTATAATGCTCAATTTAATCCCGAAGTAGTCAATGATAAGGAATTTCGAGGACGAAATTCTTTTAAGGGGGAGAGAGTGTGAGAACCCGTAAATTCCCTAATAATTTTCCTAGGGTTTTTCCCCTTTAAAGACATGTTTTCTGCATTTTCTGGCTTAGGAAAATTTTCCTGGTGAATTTTATGAGTAATTATAGTTTTTAGATGATTTTTCTAGTATTGGAGAGTTTTTGAAAAATTAAGAATATATAATGGACGTGGGACCCACTAGTGCGAAAAGTTCGGAAAAATTCGGCCAATTAGGTTAAATTCCGGATACTGGTGGAAATTTATCGGATGTTAAGAGATAAGTAGAGGGTGAGATTTGATTGATGTGAGAGGAAAAAGAAGGATAGGATTGCTTTAATGAAGGTGACAAGTGTCACCATTATATTGGATATGACTTATGACAACTATTCACCTTTTTGACTTATTTGACCCATTGATTAAATATCTCAAAATTACCACAAAAATCACCATTTCTTACCTCCTTGGTGGCCGGCCCTCTCTAGCAAAGAAGGAAGAGAAACTCTTCAAAATCTTGGCAACTATCTAGCTCAAATCCTCCAAAACACTTGCTTGATCTTGTTTCTACTCCATAAAATCTCTCCATTTGGTGTTAGTGGTTAGTTTGGTGAAGTTTTTGGAGAAGCTAAGGTGTCCAACAACTCTCCCTCTCTTGTGTTCTAGGTAAGTGGTGTTTGAACTTCCTCCTACACTTAATGAAGCTTGAGTTGTGCTTAGTGGTAGCTAAAGTGATGAAATTTGTGGTTTATCTCTTGCTTTTGGATGAAATGACGGAGTTTTCAATTTAATGGTGATTTTTCTGGTTTAATATGATCATGTTGTTGTGGCCTTGTATGATGATTGGCAATGGCCTAGAATGACTCTAGTAAGTTGTATGATTGGTAATTGCAACCAATTTTGGGTTTGGAAGGAAATGTGAAAAGTTAGGGTTTCATAACCCCCTTTTCTGTCCGGTTTTGTATCTTATGGTTAGAGGCCGAATTGGCCTTGGCTTAAAACATGAAAGTTGTAGGTATTGATGTGTTTGAGGTGTCTATAAAATTTCAACTTGATCCGACAACTGTAGCATGTGAAATGACCGAAATACCCTTGACTATTTTCGAAACCTGTTTCGCGCCCAGATTTCTGTTTTTGTGTAGTCTTCCATTTTCGACCATGAAAATGCACGATTTGGCCTTTGAGCTCATCTGATGAAATGTAGCTTGATGTCTTAGCTACCATATGCCTTTGGAATTTCTGGATTTGGACTTGTAGAGCCTGAGTTATGATGTTTCCGTTAGAATGCGTTTTTGTGAATCTGTTTTACGTTTTTGATATAGTATCTTGCATTTTTGACCTGTTTGCACTCAAAACTGGGTTGAGTGACCTTCTGTAATGTTGTAGCCCTGTCTTTTAACTTCGAGATGGTGGGTCTTGTACCCTCATCCGATAATCGTAGTGAAATTGGTACCATTACCGCAAAATAAGGACAAAACTGTTTTTTTCAGGGCCAAAGTTAATTGCATTTCAGGATTTTCTGGTTACCTATGATACTTGTATATGCATATGAAACCCTATTGGGGTTGTGATTGGCATTGCTTTATGACTCGTTATCGAGTCTCATTGTACTTGTTTACGTGTTCTAGGGCGTGACGGTGGTTCACGATATTTTCTTGACGGAAGTGCATGAAACAATACTTAATTGATAAGTGAGTATACTACTCACTTGAATGTTACAATGTGGCTTTGCTATATGTGATTTTGATGCCTTGAAGGCTTATTTGGCTATTGGAATTGATTGAGGTGAGGGTGTACTTGACCGCCCTCACCCCTTGTGATACCGTTAATGACTGTTTACCGCTTCACTGATATACTGCACTTGCTATATGAGATATTGAATTCACTTCATGAAATACTGATTTGGTGTCGTTTGGACGAGTATCCAACGGCCTTACTGTACTACTGAGCTCAACCCCGTTGGTAGTCAATTGAATCGAGCCGGCGAGGGCTTGGTCGTGAAAATTGACATGCCACGGGGACTGTACTGGGGAATCTTGTAGTAATGAGACTCTTGATTCCGGTAAACTCGAGTATTACCAAAAACTACTGATTGGAGTGCGGGCCCGGTTGGGGTATGTTTGGTGGAAGGGATGGGAGTGAAGTGGGTTCTACGGTTGGTACTCATAAACGTTGACGGAGAGTCAATGAGATTGGATCAAGAATGTAAGCGTGGAAATGGGCTCTTGAGAGCCGTCCGTATCCTTTTACTGACTTGTTTTATTCTTTAATTGTGTACTTGAAATGAAAGGTTATGCTATATGCTCTTTGTTGCTTATGTGGTAGTAACTCACTGGGCTTAAGCTCATTCCGTTCCATTTGTTTTCCTTACAGGAAATGACCACTTTTGGAAAAGGTTGTGTTAGTTGGTTGTCAAGTTGAGCTCATGTAAATGTCTTCTGAATAGCTCTTTGAATGAAATCCTAATGTGTATTGGGTTCAATTTCTTGTGATTGGCAAACCGAACATGTATATTCGTAATGAATGGTTTTGATATGCCGCTTTGGCTTGAAAATGTTACATTTCAATGTATGTATGTTTGGTTGAATTTCGGATCAGCTCGTATTTCAAACGGCAAAAGAAAAATTTTGGCTACTCTCGGCCTAGTATCTGGATTCTGACGTGGCCGGTACTGTTCATCATCGGTTTCGATTTTCGTTTTTTTTATTTTGTGATTTAGACTTGTTTACGCGCGTGGGTATGTTCCGGAACGTATTAGATCGACGTGAACTGATCCGTAGTCCTGGCGAGAGCTGGGCAGGCAGTCCGCTAACCCCTTTGGTTCGCCTTAGGGGAAAGTGGGGCTGTTACAAATTCGGCCTCTATCTATGAGCTACAAATTCGGGCAGAATGTTATCATCATAAACCCTAACTTTCCAAAATTTCTTCCAAAACAGAAATTGTTTGCAATTAACCACTTTTTCCACCTCATAGAGTCCTTAAACATCATTTCCAATCATCATACATGACCCCATAATCATATCCATATGAAAACAGAAAAATCCCCAATAATTATAAAATTTCACCAATTCAACCAAAATCAAGATATAATCCATAAAAGTGCATCTTATACCACCACCAATCATGAATTGAACATCATTAGAGGAAGGAGAGGGGTCCTTCACAACTCACCTTAGCAATACAAGAGATAGAGAAACTAGTCACCTTAACTTTCCAAACAACTCTACAACCAAGTTCAACTCCACCAAACTAAGAGGTTTTATGGAGTAATTGGAAGATTAAACGGTTTAATTGAGAGATTGGGCAAGATTGGAGACTAGAAATTGAGAGCTTTTCTTTCTTTCTTTGAGCAAGAAAATTCGGCCAAGAAGCTTGCAAAATGAAGTGATTTTTGGGCCAATTTGAATTAAATGGTAAAGTTATGAATAGTAGTCAAACTCAAGACTAAATCTTATGGTGACACTTGTCACCTTTAGGTTTAAAACTTATCTTTTTGTCTCTCCAATACAAATATCTTAACACCTTGTAAAATAATATCACTTAATACAAAATTCCAACAAGTTGTCAAAAATATAATGCATTTACCGCACTAGCGGGTCCCACGTCCAAAATACGCTCTTAATTTCTCAAAAACTAACCGATACTAGAAAAATCATTTTAAAACTATCTTTGCTCATAAACTTTATCTGGGAAATTTTTCTAATAAAGAAAATGTAGAAAAGGCGGGCGATTAAATACAATAAGCCCTAGAAAATTAGAAAATTTTCGGGTTCTCACTCTCATTCTTTTCGGGGCGTCACATACTAACACACTAGTCTCATAAAAAATTAAATTATCGAGATTCAACGTCCTAAGAATAATTATAAAGAGTTTTAACCTAAAACAATTTCATCTTAATTCTAGATTCCCATTAACACCTAACATTATTAATACTTAAAGTTAGCTAATGAAATCAAGGAATTAATATAAAGGCAACGACACACTCTCCGTCAAGAAATATTAACTTAACTTGGCAAAATTCAAATAATCTAATATTTTGCACAATTTGAACTATTTGTAACCTAAAACAAATTATTTTTACACACTTAATGCAGAACAACTAACAATCAAATTTATTAAAAGACTAACATGCAAATGTAACACGTATATATATATGTATATCTATATTTTTCAAGGTTCTCACAATTGTGGCTCGACTAATGCAAAAAATGATAGTAATTATTGTATAATGAACCCTCAAATATATATATATATGGTTATAAACGTCTCTAAATTCATCAAAACACACATTAACCAAAATGGGTTCCAAAGCCCACATCAGTTCAAGTACTAACAGCCATTATCCATCCAAACAATAGAGTACTAAATTCACATAAGTTCAACTAGTAACAGCCATTACGCATCCAAAAAAACAAAGTGCTCTTTCCAAACAAAAACAAAGACTAAAGCAGCAATTTGTGTCAAACTGAAGTCATCTTCATGAGCATATCCAAAAGCCAACCTTTTTCATCTCCTCAAGAGCATTTAATAGCATTGTACTGCATTGAAAGAAAAGTATCATATGCATTAGAATTGATTTCAGTCAAAAAATATGCCATTACAAGCATGCACTATTGAATTTGAATGAATAGTCATACTGAACAAAAATCCAATTAAGTCAATATGATAAGCTCCCACCAACATCACGTACAATGTCACACCACAGGACCATACATCCGCAATCTAGAAAATAGACAGCAATTACAAAATGAATGAAGACCTTCTTGAGACAAAACTATTTAATGAGCAGAAAGTAGGCAGCAGTGCCTGCCTGTTAAGCAGGAAGAAATGAACTGAACAAGCATAACCACTAGCACAAAGTTTACAAGATACTTGAGACAAGGGCCATATTGCTGATTTAGAAGAAACAGTACTACTACTTTTGACTATGTCTGGATGCAAGTTGGGGATACTAGTCGATCTAGTAATACCATATCACAGCAAAAGGGAGGAAATTCCATTATACTATGACAGTGAAGAGTTAACTAGAAGAGGAAACTAATGCTCAGAGGAGAGAATCTCTGTAAATTCTTCAAGAATTTTGATGATACATACCTTCCCATCATATTCCTTCCTTGACAGGACCTCAGGTTCAATATATGCTGGTGTTTCGACTGTCGATTTGGGTTGTGAGTGCAATAAACCAGACTGCAAGTAAATGCCAGAAACCAACAAAATTTCAAATTATCCACAGAAAAAAATATGAAGTCAATTGAATCACAAATTTTTTTAATTCCAAATGCAAAGATTTGTAATCTAGTTCCATTTTCTATCTTGTCAGCTCTCATCTATGACCTCGAAGACAGCGCTCTTTTCTGTTTAATCGAAGCCGAAAACAGGACCCATTCCATTCCCTCTAGAAAAAGTGTAATCTGAGTGCCAAAGTCTTGAACTACCGATTAGCAACCAACTTCGGCCGAATAAAAATGTCTTCATATACCACTTATATTAAGCATGAAAAAGCAGTACATGTCGCTACTTTAACATGCTTTACTCAGACCTTGAGGAACGGGTCTACTTCTAGATAATAACACACAAATTTTCCCAAATGTCCCCACCTCTAAATATGCTGTTATTTCTTCCAAAATCTAACTCCAATTATTAGGACATTCGCTGCTTATATAATGGAAAATATATACTTTATAGGCGTTTGTCAGTTTTATAGCTAGACTCTTCATCACTGGAGGCTCGATGCAAGATAAGGAAACTGGAATATGGATTCCTAGGGTCAGAAGGGCACAGAAACTAAGGTCTAGATCATAGGTTTTCTACAATTTGAAAAGCTAAACAGCCACAAAGTTCAAGGAACCAACTGGTTTCAAAAAAATAAATTTGACAAGGTGAATCCATTCATCAAGAAAACTCATGTGTGTGATAGTGTTCATCCTTGAATTTAGATAGCTGATCTAAATATGACCATCAAACTATTCAATAGCTGATCTAATAAATGCCACTTAATTTAACAAATCAATAGCTGATCAAAATATGACCATCAAACTATTAAATTTGACAACATCTTAGGCACACAAAAAGAAGTCCTAGAATTTTGTTACTTGTCAGGATCCTTGTTAATCATCACAATTTTGATTCTTCTCAATATAGCATATTGATAAAACTTGATGAAGATTTTGACAGATCTGATATGACTAACGCAAGAATCAGGGGGAAATTGCAAAGCCTCGAACATGGTACTCTTTTATGCTACTACTACCATTGTCAAACTAAAAAATGTTAGAAAATAGTAGACATCACTGCAAAGTAGAGAGTTTCTTCAACAAAATTAATCAAGTGCAAGAACATTCAACCATTGATTACTTAGACTATCAGAAAGAAAAAAAAATACCCTTACAACCTCAAATGTTTGACAAATCCAGTTATTAAATTTTTCACATCATTTGCTGCAATTAAAACTATGTACAATTAAAACTAGGCACTGCTTTAATAATATTATAACTATTTAGTGCCTCGAGTTAGTCTCAAAATGTCCAACATTATTTGGAAATACACTTTGGCCGTAGACAAAATCTGACTCTTTTAGGCATTAAAGCAGTAGACAATAGTCTAGGCACTAAAGATGTTTACCAGCGCTATGTAAAGGTAAACAATATCATTTTAGTTGAATAAAGACTCTAAAACTAAAGAGGCTACATTTTCATGCAATAGTTGAGATGGATAACCAGCATGGATTGCCAAAAATGTTAACAACCAAATGATACTTGAATCTTTAATCATCCTCAGAAACACACATCACCAGGAAGGAGATGCAAAATATGTTACACCAGAATTTACCTTTTACCAGATTTGACAGACCATTTTCCTTCAAACTTCTTGAAATCACCATCAACCATGAAAAACTGGAGTTCACGGTCATTTGCCTGAATAAATTTCATTCGCAAATAGTTAACTGAGATAAAGTTATCACATAAGAATGCATAGTTACTGCTACCTATTCTATCAGAATGAAAATGCAGTTTAACATCTCACATTATATTGGGTTAAATACCAAAAACCCCCCTGTGGTTTGCCTAATGTTCACTTTACCTCCCTATGGTTTGAAAACCTACAATTTGACTCCCTGTCATTTCAACTAAAGTAAAAGTCTAACGGAAAATGTGAGGACCCGTAATTTTCTTAATTTTTAGGGTTTTATTTTCTTCTAATTGCACGTTTTGCCACATTTTCTTTATTCGGAAAATTTTAAATATAATTTTTATGAGTAAAGTTAGTTTTTAAATGATTTTTCTAGTATCGGATAGTTTTTGAAAAATTAAGAGCATATATCGGACGTGGGACCCGCTAGTGCGAAAAGTTCGGAAAAATTCGGCCAGTTAGGTTAAATTTTGGATACTGAGTTTAATTTGCTAGGTGTTATGAGATATTTAGAGGTTGCCAAGTGGATTGTTGTAAGAGAAACAAAAAAGTTAGGCAAGCAATTAATGAAAGTGACATGTGTCACTTAGAGATTAATTCCTACATTTGACTTACTATTCATCCTTTTACCATTTACTAAATAAAACCAAAAATTGACCAAAAATCTTCCAAAATCTCCAAGCTTGTGGCCGGCCCTTTTCAAGCACAAAGGAAAGAAAACTCTCTCAATTTTCAAGCTCCAATCTTGGCCAATCTCACAAACTAACCGTTTAATCTTGAATTCCTTCCATAAAACCTCTTAGTTTAGTGCTTGTAAGGTGATTGGTGAAGTTGTTTGGAAGGCTAAGGTGTTGAATTGCTTCCTTTCTTGTCTTATAAGGTGAGTTGTGAAAAAAACCACTCTCCTCTCTCTAATGATGCTTAAATCATGACTAGTGGTGGTATGAGATGCAATTTTATAGATTAAATCTTGATTTTTGGTTGAATTGATGAAGTTTTCTAATTATTGGGGATTTTTCTGTTTTCATATGAATATGATTGTGTGGCTATGTATGATGTTTGGAAATGGTATTTAAGGCATCTAGGAGGTGGAAAAAGTGGATAATTGCAAGCAATTTCTGTTTGGAAGAAAAATTGGAAAGTTTGGGTTTCAATGTTCTTCATTCTGCCCGTTTTATAGCTCCTATTTAGAGGCCGAATTGGCCTTGGATTAAAACATAAAAGTTGTATGGAATGATATTTTAGAGGTGCCTACAAAATTTCAGGGCAATCGGAGTAGCGTAGAATGAGAAAAGTCGAAATTACCCTTGCTATCCTGGTTTTACCCGAATGTAAGAATTGCGCCTGTAATTGGTTGTTTGGCCGGAATTGCTTCGGAATTGGTTGTTTAGGTCTTCTGATGAAATGTAGCCCTGTTTCTAAGCTTTCGGATGGCTTTGGAATTTCTGGATTTAAGTAGGCTGAGTTATGCTGTTTACACCAGAATGCATCTTGTGAATCTATTTTTCCGGTTCTGATGTAGTATCTTGCATTTTGACCTTGTTACACTCGAAACTGGACAGAGTTGCCTTCTGGAACATTGTATCCCTATCTCTTATCTTCGAAATGGTGGGTCTTGTACCTTCATCCGATAATCGTAGTGCCTTTGGTGCCATTACCGGAAAATGAGGTCAAAAACTGTTTTTTTTTAGGGCTAAAGCTAATTCCATTTCCTGATTTTCCTGGTTTACTCTAGTGTTTATATCTTCTTGTGGAACCTTCTTTTGGTGGTATGTGGACTTGGTTATGATATGTAATCGAGTCTTATTGTGCTTGTTTGAATATTTTAGGGCTTGACGGTGATTAAAGACGCTCTTTGGGCGAAAGTTTATGAAATTTCACTTGCTTGTCTGGTGAGTGTTCCTTGTTTGTTATGTTACATGATTACATGGCTGGTATGAATGATTGATAAAATGATTGTTAAATGCTTTCAATGATTGTTAAAATGAGTTTTCTAGGCAAGTGTGTACTTTATCGCACTTGGCCTAAATGATTGTGAAGTTTTCAATGATTGAACGATTGAAATGTTATTTGTGCATGAATGTAAGCCTTTTGGCTGAACTGGCCACTGCCCCTTGTTACCGGTCGTCTCGAGCCAGAAGCGGACTCGGTCGGGCGATTAGGGACCTGGGTGAACGTTTTGGTATACTCGAGTATTACCTTGAAGTCTGGTGGAGCCTGACCAACGGTCAGGGAAGGAGGTGAATGAATGAATGAACGAATGAATGAATGAGGGTTTTACTTATATAAAATGCATTTTCAACTAACTAGAGCCAAACACTAGAATTTCCAACACTCTTACCATTGATTATACAAAACATGCTTCAAAATGCAGATCAGAGAACCAAAATTAAAAGAAATCCACAAGCCAAATGGCATCATACCGGAAATAACGGAAGCCCAATCATCGTAAAACTTGAAACCCGAGCTCCTCAACACGGTTCGGCAAGCCTCCAAAATCCTATCTTGAACTCCTTTCTCCAACATCCTCAAACCAGCAGTTGCCATTAGCCTAATTTCAGTCTCCCTCCAATACTCCCGAGGTACCCTTTTCCTCCCAAACTCCACCAGTTCCGCCACCGCAGAAGCAGCCCTCTCCGGCTCCTCCGCAAAAGCAGACAACCTTGGCTGTCCTTAGCCTTCTCAGCATCAAGGCAAGCCCCAATTTTCTTGAGAAGACTGATAGCATTGGAGGTTTTCTCCATGGCCTCAGCAAAATCGGAGATCACACAGGGGATTTGCAGGACAGACTCAATCCGGTGGCTGCAGGCCATGACAAGGGAAGGCACTGCAGAGATGGCGATGACAGAAACCACGGCATACCATTTCTTGTTAATTGGGACCTGCGGTGCCAACGGTGCCAGATCTTGGTCGGAGCAAACATGCGGCCACCGCAGCACATGTTGCCATAGGCACCCTGGCCGGCACTGTGAGTGCCACCGCCAGGAACACGAGAGATACGGGAAACAGCGAGACCAGCACCCCAAGACTCGGCAGAGGTCTGGTGGCCGGCGGACCTAGAGACAGCATAGGGTTGGCGAGAGTTCTTGGAGATGTCGCGATGAATGTCTTGCTAAAATGATGTTCGAAATTTTTCTAAGTGTTATGAGTGTTTTTGTTTAACTCTTGCTAAAATGACGTCGTTTCTGCTTCTTTTGTTTACCCGTCTCTACTGTTCAATTTTGTTCAATTTTTAGCTTCCCTCGCCTGTACACCAAATTTCAGCTTCCCCGCATCTACTCCAATTTTGAGATTCCCACTTCCACTTTAGCTTCAACCAAAAAATAACGCTTTCAAGTGACTTTTGTACTAACTATTTGGACCTTTCTTTACAAAAACAACGCCTTCTCTAGTATATCTCTTTTTCTTTTCTCTATCTTTGTGTAATTAAAGTTGTTTATTTTTGAGTTTTTAGCTCATAAGTTGTATTAAAACTTTATTTGTTGCATTAAAACTTTAGAATATGAAAATTTAGTGTTTTTTGATAATGTTGTTTACTTACACAAGTTTTTTTATCTCTACAAAAAATTAATGTCCAAAAACTAAAAAGCTTATTAAAAATATGTTTATGATTCAAAAAAAATCTTTTGATGTAAATATTTTTGGTATTATTTTAATAATTTTATGAATTATGTACGAATTATGGTTTGACAAGACCTAACAATACTGTTTAGTTGATCAAATAACCAAAATAGTTTGCTAATACATGCATGACAGACTAAATGTTTTTGGTACAAGTACCGATTCATAAACCATAAACAATGTGACTATTGTGATTAATAATAAACTCCAGTCATCCAATTGGTTTACTAGTTAATAATAAACTAGTTGATCAAATAACCAAAATGGTTTACTAATACATGCATGAAACACTAAATCTATTTGATACATGTACTGATTCATAAACCATAAACAATTTGATTAATGTAAATTGTAATACATAACAAATTCCAGTCATGGAATTGTCAAGATTTTTACTTAATTTCATATTAAATTTTATTATTCTCTTCCATTATTTTCAAACTATGTTAATCATTAATTTCCCATATGTTGTCAAGAGAACTAAATAATGAATTCATGATTTTTTTTAACTTTATAACAAGGTATTAGCTATGTTGGGAATAATTAAAAAATAGGTAAACATTGTTTTTTACAATACCTTCCTCATTTTGCTAATGATAAACACAACCTAAAGTGTAAAAACATACGGCGCCATAATAGAATTAACAAAACCTTTCTTTATCACATACGAGGCTATATTGCAAAAGATAAGGTATCATGGTAGAGTTAATGAGATTAGTTTACCAAATAAGGAGAAAAGTTCGGGTGTCATAACATAATTAATTAATTTTACGTGCAGCATATGGGCCTTATAGAAAAAATTAGGGTGGTATATGGGGTTAAAATGTAAAAGTTAGAGTGTCATAGTAGAATTAATAAAATTTATTTACAACACATGGGCTATATTGAAAAAATTAAGGTGATATATGGTGTTAAAATGTAAAATTTAGGATGTCATAGTAAAATTAATAAAATTTATTTACAGCACATGGGCCATATTAAAAAAATTAAGGTGGTATATGGGTCAAAATGTAAAAGTTAGGGTGTCATAATAGAGTTAATAAAATTTATTTACAATATATGGGCCGTATTGAAAAAATTAGGGTGACATAGCAGAATTAGTGAAAGTGAGATGGGAATAAATGCTTTGGACAGTGACGACTAGTTGTTGTTACTAATTTAGAACTGGCAACCATATTGTGACAATATTTCAAGTTGTCACTATAGGACTAGTTTCAGTAACAACATGTTTTCCAATCGTCACAATGGTGATCTCCTGCCACACTGGATAGTTGCGCGTCATCCATATTGTGACGACTTATTCCATATTGTCACTGTTGACAGGTGAACCCACGATCAAGTATGACGACATTAAAGGTCGTCACTAAAGTTTTCAATTGTGACAAGTTTCTCTCTTGTTACAGAGAATGTTGTCACAAAAGGCCAAATTTCTTGTAGTGGTCCTACCCGTTCTTGCTGTCCACCACCAGTTCAACCTCTATCTCTGTAAGTTATCTACAACCTCCATTCTTGTCCTCCACCCCCAAATCGAAACTCCCTCAGTTGATTCTATCCATATGTGTGATGATCCCACCTTTCTTTAGGGCGTACCCCAGAGTTTAGCGGACCGCCTGCATAGCTTTCGCTAGGACTCGCTCGCATAATTTAAAAGTCGAATTATAACTTCAAGAGTAAGAGTAGCAGCAGTTTCCAAACTTAAAATATATGTACATACTTGGTCATTTCAAATGTCGATAAATACTCAAAATACAACAAAAATTTCAATCTCTAGTTAAAATCCAAACCCTAGACGAGCACTAGTACTATTACAATTACAAAGCCAAAAGATCTATGATAAGTGAATATTTCATGTATATTTTGTACAAGTTTGGCATGAACTTTTGGTGTGTTTTGAGAAGATTAAAGCCATATTTGAACTCTTTTGATGATAATTGCTTAAATATTGTTTAAGTGTTCAAAACTTGATAAATGAGTGGATTAATGCGTTAATTTTGTGAAATTGTGAAGGATATTGATGTATGAATTCATGCACGAAATAAAAGAAATGTAAGGATCGTCCAGAGGATAAAGTACACAAGAAATTAGGAGTAAAAATGAAGAAAAAAGAAAAAGAAGTGAAAAACTGGAAAATGACCAGCACGGATCCGAGAGCTCGGATCCGTGTGAATAAAAGGCGATCCGAGCCCTCGTCTGTACTTCTGGAGCAGTGTATCCGAGGACAAACGATCCGAGCTCGGATCCATCAGAGAAAGGCCTCGGATGAACCTTGATTCGAGCTCAGATCATTCTTCACCCCTCGAATCCGAAGCTCGGATCTGCCTCTCTCTTCTGCAAGTGGCACAATCGTTTTTTCTCACTTTTCGGCTATTTGGAGTGAGTGAATTCGGTGGCACATGCTTCTGCAACAAAAGGGAAGACAAAATAAGTTAAAGAAAGTCAAAACAACATTTCTTTTGACTTCCTTTACAAAATCTAAGTGGTTGAAATCATGAAAGAGAAAAAAATGCCTTTCTACCACTTTTTATGCAGAGACACAAGAGAGAAGCTGGGGATCACCATATGTAGCTAGTTTTCCTTCTTGTAACTAGTTTCTCTCTAGCTAGGAGTTCTTTGAGAAGCATTGGGAGGTTTCACTAGTAATCATCTTGTACAAGAACATAGCAGAAATTGGAGGGCTTCACAATCAATTGGCTAAGCTTTCTTTTATCTTTCTTGTACTTGCGCTTTATGATGTTTTGCATTAATAAACTTGTCAGTTTGGTTGTTAAATAATTTATGAGTAGCTGATTTTCTTTATTTAGGGAGTAGATGAAACTTATGACTAAATAATATGAATTGAATGTGATTTACACTTGTTATATCTTGTATTAACTTGCCTATTTGTGCATGTAATAATTACTTGTTATTGCTTGATCACCAATAGCATGTTTATAGTTATTATTGTTCAATGAGAATTGGTAGTAACAATGGAAACACATGAGTTGAGCTTAAGTTGTATGTTCATGAAAATAGAGATACACTTAAGTGGATTTTCTAACATTTCATGAAGGAAAACAGAGTAGAACTAGTATTTCACCATGAAAATAGGAAAAACTATATTGCTCTAGGCCATTTCATCATAAAAATGAGATTTGGTAATATTGGAAATGAATCCCTGGTTAAACAAGAAAAATAACAAGAGCTAAATCTATTCATTTGTGTTATTTATGCCATAAGTGGAATCTACATCCCTAGATTCAATCTTTAGTGAAATTTCTCCGTTTGCATTTAATATTGATTAAACCAGATTTGTAGACAATAGCATTATAATTTTGCTGCTCAGATTTATTGTAAGTCTAAATAATAGAGAGAAATAAGGGCCTAGTACTTGTTTAATTTGCTTCTCGCAGGATCGACCCGATATATACCCTATATTACGATTTTGGCCTGTATACTTGTAGTCAACGGGTATAAAATCGAATTTAAACTTGCATTGATATAAAAATCCCGTCAAGTTTTTGGCACCGTTCCCGGGGAGCTGTAATATTAGGGCCTAATCATCTCAATTAATTTAGATATTTCTATTGTTTTTATTCAAGTTGTTTATAGTTAATTTTAACAATTAAAACTGTAAAATTTCTCTTATTTTTATTTGTAGTGTATGCACCGATTAGATCGAGAAATTGCACTTTCGATCCTGAAATTGAGAGGACACTACGAAGACAAAGGAGGAATACACCGCATCAAGAGGAACAAGAGGTTTGGCAGCCGATAGAGGAAATCTTGAGAGAGTTACCATTTGAGGAAGAAATGGCGGAAAATGACCCAAATAGGCGAATTCTACGAGATTTTGCTTTATCGGGAACACAAGGTTCTCAAACTAGCATTGTAAGGCCAACGGTAAATGTTAATAATTTTGAGATTAAACCATCACTGATACAAATGGTACAACAATCTCAATATGGAGGTAATGCTACCAAAGATCCAAATTCTCATTTGTCAATATTTCTTGAAATCTGTGATACAATTAAGTTTAATGGTGTTAGTGATGATGCAATTAAACTTCGATTGTTTCCATTTTCACTAAGGGACAAAGCCAAGGTTTGGTTACAATCTCATCCTCCAAACACTTTCACTACTTGGACTGAATTAGCTAGGGCTTTTCTTAACAAATTCTTTCCACCTGGAAAAACTGCTAAACTTAAAATGGATATAACTAGTTTCTCTCAACATGAAGGAGAGATGTTGTATGAAGCTTGGGAGTGCTATCGGAAATTGCAACGAAGATATCGTCATCATGGTTTACCAGATTGGCTAGTAGTCCAAACATTTTACAATGGTCTCACCTATCCAACAAAGACGCATGTAGATGCAGCAGCGAGAGGAGTATTGATAGGAAAGACAGCCGAGGAAGCTCAACAATGATTGAACAAATGGCTGCTAACAATTATCAATGGGCAAACAAACGAGGTAATACAAGGAGAACCGCAGGTATGCTCGAAGTAGATACCTTAACTGCAAAAATGGATAATGTGGTTAAGATGCTTAATAGGCATGTTGGCTAGCTCTAATCAAGGAGTAGTTGTTGCATGTTGTACTACTTGCGGTGGAGATCATGATGATTCTATGTGTTCTAGCAGCGAATAGGTTCAATATCTCAACAATTACAATTGTCCACCCCAAAACAATCCATACTCCAATACCTACAATTCAGGATGGCGTAATCACCCGAATTTTGGATGAAAGGATCAAGGGAACTAACAAAGACCAGTTAATCCACCGGATTTTCAACCGAAACAACCATTTCCGAAGTCCAAAACAGCTTGGGAATTGGCAATTGAGAAGCTGGCAAATGTATCAAATGATAAAATTGAAAAGTTAGCCAGTGCCACTACTCAACGGTTTGAAAGAAAAAAGATTGAAGGATGGACCAACTCACCAATATATACAGGAATGTTGAGGTCCAATTAGGGTAAATAGCATATGCGGTTAACAATCGCAACCAAAGGATTTACCTAGCAAAACTGAAGTGAACCCAAGGGAGGAGCATGTGAAGGCTATAACCCTCCGTAGTAGTAAGGAAGTAGGTGAGCCACCTGTAGTAAAATGTGAGAGAGATGTGAAAGAAGAGAAACAAACAGTTAAGTGAGTTAGGAGAGGACGGCAAGAAAATCAAAGGGAAGAAAAGATGGAGGAAAATGAATCACAAATGGGAGATACAACACCAATGCCTCCACTAGTGCCATTCCCTCAAAAATTGAAGCCTTCAAGAAATGAAAAGAATTTGAAAAGTTTGTCAACATTTTCAAACAATTACATATTAATATTCCTTTTTTGATGCTATTTTACAGATTCCTTCATACTCAAGTTTCTCAAGGAGATAATAACTAACAAAAGGAAGTTAGTAGATAGTGAGACAATTGCATTAACGGAAGAATGTAGTGCCATTATACAAAACAAATTGCCACCAAAGTTGAAAGATCCAGGAAGTTTCACAGTTCCTTGCACTATTGGTAATGTAGAATTCTCTAAAGCACTTTGTGACCTTGGTGCAAGTGTTTCATTGATTCCTTTAACTATGGCTAGGCAATTGAGGTTGAAAGAGTTAAAGCGTACTACATTTCCTTGCAATTGGCTAACAGGTATATTAGACATCCAATGGCATATTGGAGAATGTGCTCATTAAAGTGTAGAAATTCATTATTCCTATTGATTTTGTTGTTTTAGATATGGAGGAAGATGTCAATGTACATATTATACTTGGTAGACCATTTCTGGCCACTACAGGTACAATAATAGATGTCAAATGAGGTAAGTTTAAGTTCCAAATCGGTGAAGAGGAAGTGAAATTTGATTTGAGTAAAGTAGAGAAATATCCCTCTTTTACCGACCATGTTTATTCTATAGACATATGTGATGAATTGGCATTAGAGATGAGTCAAGTTAATTTTGATGATGATTTTCTTGAACTTTGTCTTAATGGTATAGGTTTACAAGAGGAGTAAGTTGAAGAAATGATCGAATTTTTGCAGGCACAGGTTCCTTACAAAGGAGAAATGCATATGTGGAGTTAGGACTGAGCAAAGGGCTACCTCCACCATCATGTGAGCAAGCACCACAGTTTGAGTTTAAGTCACTGCCTAAACACTTAAATATGCATTTCTTGGAGAAAAGAGACATTGCTAGTAATTGTCAGTGCACTAGATGAGAAACAACTAGACAAGCTTTTACTCGTTCTAAGGAAGCATTTCAAGGCTATAGGATGGACGATTTCTGATATCAAAGGAATTAGTCCAATTACTTGTATGCATAGGATTTTGTTGGAAGAAAACTCTAAACCGGTGGTTGAGACTCAAGAAGGTTAAATCCAAATATGAGAGAAGTGGTAAGAGTAGAAATCCTTAAATGCTGGATGCAGGTATAATTTTTCTAATTTTTGATAGTGTTTGGATTTCTTCTATACAAGTATGCTAAAGAAAGGGGGATAACCATAATATATGGTAAAAATGATGAAATGATTCCTTCTAGAGTTGTGGTTGGGTGGCGAGTCTGTATTGATTATAAAAAACTGAATGCAACTACTAGAAAGGATCACTTCCCTCTACCTTTTCTTGATCAAATGGTAGAAAGATTGGCCGGATATGAATTTTATTGTTTCTTGGATGGTTTTTCAGGATATAATCAAATAGTCATTGCACTAGAAAATCAAGAGAAAACTACATTCACTTGCCCTTAGGGCACTTTTGCATTTAGAAGAATACCTTTGGACTGTGCAATGCACGGCCACCTTCCAACAATGCATGATGGCAATTTTCTTTGATTTTAATGAGAAAATTATGGAAATCTTTATGGATGATTTTTCTGTATTTAGATCTACTTATGATGATTGTCTTAACAATTTAGATCTAATTTTGCAGAAATGTGAAAAAATAAACCTTGTACTCAATTGGGAAAAATGTCACTTCATGGTTTGTGAGGGTATTGTACTAGGTCACAAAATTTCTTCAGAAGGTATTGAGGTAGATCAAGCCAAGATAGAGGTTATTGAGAGAATGACTCCACCTACTAATGTGAAAGGCATTCGCAGCTTTCTTGGACACGTGGGATTTTATCGGCGATTTATTAAGGATTTCTTCAAGATTGCTAAACCTTTATGTGAATTACTTGCAAAAGATGTTTTTTTCACTTAATTGATGAGTGTTTATTTGCTTTCAATAGGTTAAAGAAGGAACTTGTCTCCGCACCCATAATCATCACCGGATTGGAGCTTGCCATTCGAATTAATGTGTGATGCAAGTGATTTTGCAGTTGGAGTTGTTCTTGGGCAAAAGCATGATAAGCGACTTCATGCCATTTATTATGAAAGTAAAATATTAAATGAAGCCCAAGTCAACTATGCAACAACAGAAAAGGAGTTGCTAGCAGTGATATTTGCATTGGATAAGTTTAGATCGTATTTAGTAGGATCTAAAGTTATCATCTATACCGACCATGCAGCACTCAAATTTGTTAAATAAGAAAGATGCAAAACCTCGACTAATTCGATGGATTTTATTATTGCAGGAATTTGATTTGGAGATCAAAGATAAAAAAGGATCCGAGAACTTAGTCACTGATCATCTTTCTAGACTGGAAAACATAACTCAAGAAGACCATTCATCCATTAAAGAAGAATTTTCAAATGAGTTTTTAATGGCAATTTATAAGTCACCGTGGTACGCTGATCTAGTTAACTTTGTAGTTAGTGGAGTGATACCAAGTGATTTGAATTCTCATCAAAGGAAAAAATTCTTAAATGATGCTAAACATTATTTTTGGGAGGAACCATTCTTTTACAAATATTGTGCAGATGGAATAATTCGAAGATATGTTCCAGAAGAAGAGGTATATAGTATTTTAAGGCATTGTCATACCTTGAAACGGGAGGTCATTTTAGTACAACTAAAACTGTAGCAAAGCTATGGCAATCTGGATTTTATTGGCCTACTATGTATCGAGACACTAGAAATTGGTTAAAAGTTGTGATCAATGCCAAAGAACCGATAATATCTCAAGAAAGAATGAAATGCCTTTGACTACATATTTGGAAGTTGAGCTATTTGACGTTTGGGCATTGATTTTTATAGGACCATTTCCTAGTTCATATAATAATAAGTACATCCTTTTAGCAGTTGATTATGTCTTTAAATGGGTGAGGCCATTCCTTCACAAACTAATGATGCTAAATTGGTACTTAAGTTCCTTCAACGGAACATATTTTGCAGGTTTGGAGTCCCAAAGGCAATAATAAGCGATGAAGGTAAGTATTTTTGTAATAAAATTATTGACACCTTGTTGCTTAAATATGGATGCAGGCATAAAAAGTCACTCCCCTATCATCCACAAGCCAATGGCCAAGCGCAGTTGGGCAACCGGGAAATTAAAATCATTTTGGAGAAAACGGTCAACCGATCGAGAAAGGATTGGACAAACAAGCTTGAAGATACTTTGTGGGCGTATATAGAATGGCATTTAAAACGCTGTTGGGAATGTCTCCATATAAGCTTGTTTATGGGAAAGCGTGTCATTTACCTGTAAAAATAGAACATAAAGCTTATTGGGCCATTAAGGCTATTAATTTTAATTTTAAATCTGCAAGTGAGAAGAGAATGCTCGAGTTGAGTGAATTGGAAGAATTGCGATTGACTTCGCATGAGAATACCAAGATTTACAAAGAAAAAGTGAAATTTTGGCATGACAAACATATTTCCTAAGCATTTTGAAGAAGGGCAAAAGGTGTTATTGTTTAACTCAAGGCTTAAATTATTTCTTGGAGAGCTTAAGTTTCGATGGTCCGGGCCATTTGAAGTGGTTCGTGTGTTTCCTTATGGAGCAGTGGAGGTACAAGGAGAAAATGGTTCCCCATTCAAAGTAAATCGTCAAAGATTGAAACCCTATTTGGCCGGAGAAAAGGTTCCTAAAGGAGTAATTTACTCCTTAGGAAATGCAATGGAGAATTAAAGAAGCTATAGGAGAGTCAAGCTTAACGACTCAAAACAAAGCGCTGGTTGGGAGGCAGCCCAGTAGTAATATTGTAGTTGTGTGTTTTTATGCTTTCTTACATTTTGGTGTGATTTAATTGACTAATTAGATGTATTTTACTTGTTTGTAGGAGGTACCAGAGTTTCATCATCCATTTTTGAGGTACAATTGAAGAACAAGTGTAAAAAGGGAGGTTTTCTTATCAAATTGTGCTTTAAGTGTTTAGAATTACTATTCATATATACATTGTGCATTTCAAGTATATTTAAGTGAGTTTTGTAAT